ATGGGTTTTAATTTAATCGTCAATATGTTTCATTAAATCATCACAACACTGTAAAGTGCTAAAAATATTTAGGAGCTTCCCGAAATGTCACAAACTATGGGAAAACATCTTTATGCAATCGCAAAATGGGTCGCATGAATAAAAGTTGCAAGTGTTTTAAGAACAACCTTAAATGTTCAACGAAATGTCATATTGCATTGAATAATTGTTGCAATAAATAATTTTTTTTTATTCGGATTTTTTATAAATATATTTTTTAATATTTTTTAAAACAAAAATGTCTTAACCTCATATTCCTTTTCATTCATTATATGCCTTAATTTTATACTATTTACTTTTTTTAAAATTCTCTTTTGCCTTTTGCCAGCCACAAAAAAAGAGAAGAAAAGGTAATTATTTTATTTTCATGGGGATTCGGAATATTTTTTAAAAAAATATTTAAAAAAAGGATTCCCATGCGATTCCGAATCCCACACGATTCCATATCCCATTACGACATATATTATAAATTATTAAAAAATGGTTGTATACAAAATTATAAAATTATTTTATTAAATAAAATAAAATGTTATCTTTGTTTGTTTATTTGGTGCAATATTTTTTATTTTCGTGGCTTTGATAATGTTTTTTTTGGGTTTATTAATATAATGAACAGTTCTTTTAGGAATATTACATCTTTTAGCATATTCTTGTTGAGTATCATGATTTAGAAATTCAATAACCACAATAATTTTTTTAATTAACAATAACTCGTTATATTATTATTATCGCTTGACATGAAAAGCTTTAAATAGATGATAAAAAGTTATAATATAAATTAATGCAGCAAAACAACAAATGCCCACTAGAGATCTTATGTAAATGAAGAAGAAAATTAAAAATTTGCTCAATTTTTAAAGGATGCAAACAATAACCAATCTGGGAAACATTCAGTTAATATTATTGAAAATATTGAAAAAGATTCACTTTAGCTAATATTGTAGCTTTTCATTTTTACTATTTTTTTGATTTCCGATTTAATTGTAATATAATTATTTTTATATAAAATGCTAAAATTTACTTCAATTTTTATATATTTTCTAAAATACTACATTATATAATATAAATCAAAAACCTGCAGAGGTATCATTTTTTAAAAAAAAAAAATTTGGCCCAGCCTAGAAACCGCCCCGGATTACTTTAAGAAATAATTTCGCTCAGTGTGTAAATTATTTCAATGGTTTGGTTTTTAAAAAATACCTAATCTGCATTTTATCGTTTTTTAATGAATATGTAATCCAATAATAACTTTCAAATTATCTTATCTCCCCATTTGTCTTAAAAGCAGATAGTTTGATTCACCACACTTTCAATTCGACTAATCGATGGTAGTTCCCTTATTTCCTGTTTGTAATTTAATATAGTCGTTTACGTTTATATAAATATCAGTTATTTGGCGATCTCTTCCTGGCAACATACGTTAATTGCCTGAATTTTGGGCAGAAAGAGATAAAATGATGCTTATCTAGAATAACTCCTTAAAGGTGCATTATATTTTAAATATTAAGTGTATCTTTGTTGCTTTTAATTTGATTGAATATCACCAAAAATAATGATTAGTTGAATAATTAATTTGAATAATATTTTACTAGAAATATTTTTTTCTAAGGTCGAAAAATGGGAAATATAAGTGAATGAATGTGATATATTGTATTGTTTTATGATGCCCAATTTTTTAATATATTTTATTTATAATAGCGATTAAATATTCGTCTTTAAAATTTGGGCCCCGTCTGGGTATTTTTTTTAAAAAAAATTTAGGTTTCACCCGGGTATTTTTAAATATAAAAACGGCTCGGCTCGTGCACCTGACCGGGATGGACCTGTAGGTCTCTAATATAAATATAATGTATGAAATGCTTGAATAAAAAAAAATATAAGAAAATTTCAAAAAAAATTTGCCTCAATTTCTTGAAAAATTAAAAATTAGCCTCTTATTTTTTCTAATTTTATCGTACTTCTTCCTACTTTTTAGAGCAATTGTTTACCCTCGACTCAAATTTTAGAACTACAGCAATGTATAAAATATATAGATATATGATGTTTGATTTTTTCCTTTCTAAGCATTCACTCTTTAGAGAGATATGTACCTTTTTTGAATATTTTTTTAGTTCTTTATATGTTTTTTAGACCTTATGCACCGATCTCAATTGAGGGCCGCGACTTTTTTAAATTTTTTATCGGCGTTTAGCGACGCACCGATTTTGCCACTGCAGATTATACTCTTTAATCGTATGATTTGCTTTACATTTAAAATTAGACTTTTTTCCTGGGTTATTAAATAGTAAATGATATTTCACTTATTGCTATGATGATCTTTATAGGTTAATGATGCTTACTACCAAGTGAATGTATGGAAATATTCTAAATACCAACCTAATTTGCTAAATACCGACCAAAATATATTAAAATGTATTAAGACTTATTATTTAATATATATTAATTTTTTTTTTATGTATTAAGTTAGTTTATTAAAAATATCATGTAAACTATTTGTAAATAAAAATCTATATAAAAAATTGTATAATAAAAAAAAAAATTAGTGTAGTAAATTGTATGTTGGGTGGGAGGAGGTCAAGAAAGAGAGCCGTGGATGGCAATGCAGTTAGATCTGCATATATCAATAGATATGCGCTGTCTGAGATAGAAGCCTTCCTCTGGGTCACCAGTGATGGCGCGGATTTTTTTACCAAGGGATTTGAAGAAGGTTAGGGCATGATTGCCAAAAAAACCGGTTGTGTCGGATACGATTGGTATGAGATTGCAATTGGTTAGGGAAGTGTATTTATTAATTTTAGAGTTTTCAGCTCGTATGAATGAGTTGTTATTAAAGGAGGGAGCAAATCGGTCGATGCAAGTATAGTCCCATGCTAATGGAATTCCAATACTCCATGGTACTAATCTCAGCCCATCTGGCCGTATTTATTCTCGGTTGAGAGGACACAGGGTTCGAGGGTTGCTGGAATTTGAGCTGAGCGTAGAGCACGGAGAATGGTGCCGTTAACTGCACTGTGTCGAGAATGTCTACCTTTAGAGAATCGACAATGAAGAGGATGATGTCCAAAACAATCGACGGGTTGGGAACATAATGTACATATGGAGTTGGCCAGTATTTCACAACCAAGACGAAGACCTATTGCTATGCGTAATTCTTCTTGTTAAGAGAAGTCCTAAGTTCGAGCTGGGCAAAGCTTCTAACCATTCATAGCCAGATAGGGAAGGCAAAAGTTGTGGAACTTGCAGTTGTGGGAGAGAGAGATGATCAAATGTAATGGGAGATAATAAATGTGAAAGGATTGATGGGGATCCCTTAGAAGCAGCACTCGATATTAGATATTCAACGGAGTGGCGTATTAAGGGAAGATCCCAGTCATGTTGCTTTTGTGATGTGGGGATTGGAGCGGAGAAGGAATTTTCTTTCCAGATTGCTAGGGCATGGGGAAGGTGGGGGTCTGTGGGGTTATTGTTAAGTGTAGAATAATTAAGCGGGAGCTTGATTCTGAGGCTAAAAAGGCAGCAAGGCTGAGTGACGCGGGGGTAAGGAGGCCTGCATCCAAGAATTAGGGCTGAATTTTATATTAAGGATGCCTTCTAAAGAGTCTTTGATTGTTGATTCTATTTGGGTGAGAATTTCGGGGTATAAGAAAAGTGGGGCAGAGCGGAAGGCGTGTTGGATTTTTGGGATAAAGAAAAAATTTTTGAGAAGGAAGAAAGCTTGATAGGACTTAAAGGATTTTATGTAAAAGGTGGTAATTACGGAGAAATTTTGTTTTGAAATATTCGATTGCTTTATTGCCCCCTATTGGAGATCCAAGATGTGTGAACTCGGATAGGTTAATGGGTGTGACTGTGAAGTTATGGGGATCGATAAAGGTTTCATCTGGTGAATAAAATTCGCGCCCCCCAAGGATGGACCACCAAGTTAGAATAAGAAAAAAACATAATTATTACAGGGATTCGAACTGGTGACCATGGGATAAGTAAGCGAATCTCTTGCCGACTAGGCCATAGAGGCTTTCCAAAAATCACGATTTTTCAAATATATATTATAAATATATTTGATAGTGCCTATCCAAATGAAAAATAAACAAAATTCAAATTTGATAGGTAGTACCTTAAGATAGTAGGCATCATTAACCATCTTTTTATACATAATTAGTCTAAAATTTAATTTGAGAAAAATGTGAAGATTTAGTCTTAAAACATAATAAAATATTTGTCATAACTTTATAAAATAGGATATATTGAGAATATATTTTTATTTAAATGTACCAATATCTTAAATCACCAATGAAAAAATTTAAAATTTGTGATTATTCATAAAAGTTTAGGTTTGGTAATCTTATTTTTCCATGAATGTCACTTAAAGAATACTGGTCTCTAAAAGAATAAAAGATATCATTAAATTTATAATTACTTATAATCTATTTTTTTTTAAATATAATTTTTTAAAGGGTCTTATAATATAAATTATAGAATTTTAGGTGTTAAAATATTGACGTTTTATCAGAGATAAACCCTTACCCTTATTAATCAGTAATATTATATTAAATTAACCTCTTTATTTTTGTCTCAAAGATTTCATTTAACTTGGTAATCAAATTATATATGGTAACTATTGTATAATTTATAAGGGCTATTTGTAGTATTGTTTATGAAAGTAATTTTTACTGGTATTTTATTGAGATAAAAATAATTGCCACTAGATTTTATTTCATAGTCCAAGTTCTCTCTCATTTTACTATACTATATATTATATTAATTAGTTAGGAAGTTACCTTTGAATACCAATATAAATTAATATCCTTCTTATTTTATAAAATCATCTTAATTAACATATATGATCATAAATTCCACTTCTATTAAAAACCTTCAGTTTTTCACAAAATCCAGTTGGGTTCAATAATGCATAAATCATTTTTTTAATTATATTTTTTTTAACTTTGGACATACCCAAACAGTTAAATTTATAAGAATTTTATTATACAAAATAAACTTTATAACTGCTAATATATGAACAAATAATTTATATATTTTTTCATATAACTAATTGGTTATAAAAATTTTATAAAATTAAAAATTCATATATAACTAAAATAATCAATCACAAGATTTATCATTCCAACCATCCCTCCATCTTTGAAAAACTTTAGAGCAATCAAATCTGGGTTTGTTTAGCCTCTCATTTATTTCATTATGAATTTGACATAACCACATTGATAAATCAAACTGAGATTTTAGCTTGGGAAAATTCCTTTTTATCCTAAATAATGTTATATATATTGCAAATGTGAAATAAATAATCATTAATGTAACTAAAAAATTAAATAACTGATTTTTGAAATCCTCTGCACATATGTCACAAGGGTAAAATTTGGCAACTAAATTTATAAAAGTCTCCATATCTTTTTTATCCTCGTTTGATGGTTCTTTAGGGTAATAGGCTGCTAAAGTGTGCAAAAAAGACCAAGACACCTTGCCTAATTCATTAACATCTAAAGGGCAATCATCCCGTTTAGTATGAGTAATTATCTATAAAAACATTCAAATAGTGTTTATATTTTTGCAAATTACATTAGGATTTGAGGATGAAATATTTGATTTCATTAAATTTTTGAACTCTGAACACGCTTTACAAATTCGACCTTTTTCACCATAGTGTTGATTCATTATTAATAATAATATGACTATTATAAAGTATGTGTAATGATATTTCGAGGATGATCAATTGCATTTCTATGCCAGAGGTTTTCAATATTTCGGTATCGTGTCGTCACGGTGTTTTATTATTGTTCTACTTCTAGTCACAATTTCGAAATTTTTTTAATCAAGCAAATTGCAATGTATCATTGGTAAATGTGAATAAGATATTAATTTTCCTAAATCAAAAAATTGTAAATTAAAGATATAAAATCTTTTTAAACATAAATATTTTCAAATATAATTTCTGGATTATATGTGCATAATAAATTTTATTTTTTCATGTCTAGGAGCAGAAATAAAGTGAGACCAAGGTAAAAATTTTATTTATCTAAAAATGTGTGAGAAATACACTTATTTGATTAAGAGATTTTCATATGTTTTTTAAATTTCTTCATTATCAAGTTAGAAATAAACCAAAGAATTATTGAGGTAAATTAATATTAAAATGCATTTTAATGCTAGTATATTTTTAGCATTAATTCAAGGAACAAGAAGAAAAATTTTCCACCCTCCATAATTTTGATTTTATGATTATATTGATAAAAGATCTTGTAAATTATTTTGACAAAATATAGTTTAGTATTCCATATATTAGATAGAAAAAGATTAAAATTTCTTCTGCATATTTCTATATCATAATAAAATGTTAAATTGCTGGGTCTGGTCAAACCCAGCAAGGTTTGAGCCGAGAAAAACGACCTTAAAGCCGAGCGAACCCATTTAGCCATAGATCAGACCCGACCCAATGTATCTCATGAGCCGACTCATTGGGCCCACCCGATGAGTCGGCTTGCTGGGTCGGCTTGTGATAAAATTTGTCATAATCGTCATTTTTAAGTTTTTTCGAATTTTTTTTGAAGCAAATAGGTAAAAATATATATTGTAAACATGTTAAATTAAATTTTCAGTGAATATGTACCTTAGAAAAGTGACAATTGTCATAATCGTCATCTTTAAGTTTTTTCAAATTTTTTTGAAGCAAATAGGTAAAAATAAATATTGTAAACATGTTAAATTAAATTTTCAGTGAATATGTACCTTAGAAAAGTGACAATTGTCATAATCTTCATTTTTAAGTTTTTTCGAATTTTTTTGAAGCAAATAGATAAAATATATATTGTGAACATGTTAAATTAAATTTTCAGTGAATATGTACCTTAGAAAAGTGACAATTGTCATAATCGTCATTTTTAAGTTTTTTCGAATTTTTTTGAAGCAAGTTGGTAAAAATATATTGTAAACATGTTAAATTTAAATTTTCAATGAATATGTACATTAGAAAAGTGGCAATTGTCATAATCGTCATTTTTAAGTTTTGGCTAATTTTTTTGAAAGAAATAGGTAAAAATATATATTGCAAACATGTTAAATTAAATTTTCAATGATAATGTACCTTAGAAAAGTGACAGATGTCATAATCGTCATCTTTAAGTTTTTTTAAAACTTTCTTTTAATCTTAGTGTTTTTTAATATTATAAAGTTCTAAAATTTTATTTTTATAAAGAAATTTCTATTGCCATTTTTTTTAACACCACGCTTGAAATGTAAAAATTAAAAAAACATTTTATTTATGTTTAAAGTCTTGTAAAAAGTTTTGGATATTTAAAGATTTTCTAAAACCATTGGATCTAGTAATAAGATGTCACTGCAATTATATTTTATTCCAATAAGGAAAATTTTATTTAAAATTGTTTTAAGCATATTTAAAAAATTTTGATATTGGAAAGATGTTATAAAATATTTGGATTCAGTAAGAAATTTTTTCTTTCATTACTTTTTGACTCCACCCTTAAAAATCTAGAAATATAAAAAAAATTATACTTATTTTCAGACTAGTAAAAAGTTTTTATAATTACAAAAATATTTCTAAACCTCTAATATTGATACTGCTATTATATTTTATTCTTTTTTTTTAACTTGAACTTAGTTTATAATATTTGGTATTAGATATGAGTGGTATATCATTTGAAACTTTTTAAAGGATTGGTAGATAATAGGAAAATACAGGGCAAATTGAGCAAGGAACTCATTTTTAGTTTAAGACATTCATATATTTTTCCTAATCTGTTGATTGATCATATATTTAAATAAATTTAAATAATTAATCTTAAATTTAAATAGTTAATCTTATATTATTAAATGATATGTTTGATATAATTTAACTATTTCAATTACCATAGTCGACTTTGGTTATTTTTTAATTTACTTATTATTCACTAAACGTGATTGTAAACACTTGTTATATTATATATTTTTCAATTAACTTTTATATATATATACTGATATATTTTTAGTTCTTTTAGATATAGAATAATAATAAAATATTTAAAAAAATAATTAATTTGAATAGCTTACTTCATGGTGCCCCGGTTACGGTGGTACGTTTTTTCGTTTTTCTTTTTTTAAAAAAAATAAAGGAATTACTTATCAAATTCGTCGTTCGCTATTGGAGATGATAAAAGGACAAATAAAATTTTTTGACTTTTCTTTTCGATAGTCAAAATTTTATCCAAATTTACAAAATAATAAAAGGTAAAAAAAAATAAAATAAAATAAAATATATATATATAAAAGAGTAATATGGTAAAAAATAGTTTTTCATCAAAATCTTTCAATTTCTACGTTAGGATGTGTTTCAAAGCTTTTAACATACCGCACTGCATAATTATTGATAAGATGTTGAGGGAAATGGGAGGATGCAGTAGATTCTCTTATGTCCGAAATAACAGGACGAATGAAATTCACTTTTACTTTAAAACCCTCCGAGAGATGATCAATACTTATATGTCTCTTAATGGAAAGCCTTACGTTTTTGATAAAAATAAATTCATTTTTATATTTTGTGCAATTATAGAATATTATAAATTAAATGTTAAATCTTAAATATCTTTGCAAACATTATACGCTTTATATATTTGACATACTACATTTATAGGGTATAGAAAATTTTCCCTATGTTACGTTATTAAATAAAAATTTACGCGATGCTTAACAGACAGTCTATAGAATATTAATAAAAATTTTTTAATTTTCCTTCATAACTTAAAGTAGTATGAAATTCTTTGTGACGAGTTAAGTCTAGATATTTATAGATAATTCAAATTAAAACTTAGTGGACTAAATCCTCTTTATAAATTAGAATTAAATTTTTCACAGACAAATTATATTGAAACTTAGTGGACTAAATCCTCTTTACGAATTTGAATTAAAATTTTTATAGACAAACTATATTGAAACTTAATGGACCACATTCTCTTGATTAAAATTAAAATTTTTTAGACAACTTAAATTTGATTTTAATGGGCTACAATGTTTTGCTTTTACGATTTTAAAAATTGAAAGTTTACTTTATTTAAATAAAATTTTATCATGGACGAAAAATTAACTCTTACACTCACCCAATATGTTCCTAAATTTCCCAAGTTATCAGGAAAATTATCTGAGACTTATCTTAACTTAATTGAAACATACTTTGAGGGAAATATAGAGTCAGACTCATCTAAAGTTAACACTACTATGTAGCTTACCAATTGAGATTGTAGACCAAGTTACGTCGATATGTTCTAAAGCACAGTTAAAAGACTTTAATATTGTTTTTGATAAATTAAAACTAATAATTCCAAGTGAGGACATGAATGTTAATATAAAAAACTTTAACTTAGCGGTACAGGGTGCCGATGAGTCCCTCCATACTTTTTATTTTAGGATTTCAAAACTTCATAAAAAATGCGATTTTGATAACGATACGAGAATGATTGAGAAATTAATAACTTGTTCTTTAAATGATAATATCAGAAGGAAATTAAATAAACATAAGCACGAAGGCTTAGATAAAATGATGAAATTAGGAGTTGAGTTAGATGGCAGCAATATTAAGCCGGAGATTAGCAATACAAATTATATAGATAAAAACGAAAATTTTATAAAAAATGATTCTAAAACTTTTAATAGTAAGGGGAATCTTAATAATTTTAGGCCAAGTGATATAAATAGCAGAAACTACCAAAACAGTAATTTCCGAAATAAGGAGGGTCACTCTAGAAATTTTAGTAATAATCAATCTTCAAACAACTACAATTCAAACAATTTTGGTAGGAACAACGCTCGGCAAAATTTTAACTATAATTCAAACAATTTTGGTAGGAACAACGCTCGGCAAGATTTTAACTATAAATAAAACAATTACGGTAGGAACAACACTCGGCAAGATTACAATAACAATTCAAACAATTATGGTAGAGGTACTTGGCAAAACAACAACAATTCAAACTATTACGGAAGAAACTCCATGTGGCACAATAACAATAATGCAAACAATTATGATAAAAACAATGCCTGGCAAAACAACAACAATTCAAACTATTACGGAAGAAACTCCATGTGGCACAATAACAATAATGCAAACAATTATGATAGAAACAATGCCTGGCAAAACAACAACAATTCAAACTATAACGGAAGAAACTTCAGGTGGCACGATAATAGCAATTCAAACAATTATGATAGAAATAATGCCTGGCATAACAATAATAGAGATGGTGGAAACAATACATGGGAAAACTATAATCTAAGAAAACAAATACAATATCATGATCAGAGCCAAAGTAATAGCAACAATTGCAATATGAATATTGAAGGTGGAAATCAAAAATGATGTTACACAAAATAATAATGATAGTGATTTTAATATCAACAATTTAACCGAGCATAAACTCAATGACAATGCATTCATGGCTTCCTTAAAAATAAACGATGTTACCGTTACAATGCAAGTCGATACTGAATCTAAATTCACAATTATACCTCATGATATGGCTAAACAAATAGGTATTAAAGATCTTAAAAAGTCCACTCTACAACTCACAGCTTATGATGGAAACTTAATTAAAATTATTGGCGTCACTCAAGTTAAAGTAACCTACGAAGGTATCACCAAACACTTGCAAGCCGTGGTCGTTAAATCTAATAAAAATGCGTTATTGGGACGTATGTGGATTAATGCCTTTAGTAATATTTTGAACAAATTTATAGCAAACATTGATACCAACTATGAAGATGAAATAAAGAAATTAATAAAAGATTGCGAATCTAAACTGACTAAAAAACCGATCAACAAAGGGAATGTCAAGATATATCTACGTAATGACGCCAAACCGAAAATCATACCACCTAGACGGTTACCTTATTCAAAGATAGACGCTGTTACTAGAGAACTTACGAGATGGATAGGAGATGGAGTCATTGAGCCGGTAACAGATGTCCGATGGGCAAGTCCGATAACCGCTGTCTACAAGGATAATGGGAGCGTTAGGGTTTGCGCCGACTTCAAAGACACTGTCAACCCAGCCCTTGAGGACTTCAGATACCCACTTCCAAGAATAAATGATCTTATCGCTAAGCTCAAGGAAGAGAAGAAGTTCACCAAGATAGATTTCAAGGATGCGTTCCTACAAATTCCCATCGACGAAACCTGCAGAGACATATTAACTATATCTACACACAGGGGGTACTACCGGTTTACCAGACTTCCTTTTGGGTTAAAGACTTCATCTGCGATTTTTCAACAAATTATGGATCAAATTTTCAGTGACATGAAAGATGTCGTATTTTATATTGATGGTCTACTAATAACGGGAAGTAGTGACGAAGTTCAATTCAACATCATAAAGAAGGTTTTTGAAAGAATACTATCTCATGGCTTAGTGCCTAATTTTGCAAAAAGCTTATTTTTCAAAAAAAGTCTAAGGTTCTTAGGACACGACATCGACGCCAATGGGATCCACGCCAACCATGACAAGATCGAGGCGATCGTTAAAATTCCGGAACCAAAATCAGCCGCGAAATTGTCAACGTTTCTAGGAATGGCCGGTTACTACAGAAAATTTTTGAACAACTTCGCTGAAATAGCTGATCCTTTATACAAGATTGTCAACAAAGAAAAATGGGAGTGGAATTTGGAACACTCCAAAAGTTTTAATGATCTAAAGACATTGATTAGTCTTTCTCCAGCTTTGACGTACTTTAATCCTGAATTACCCATCGGAATTGCGACTGATGCATTTAAAAGAGGTTTAGGAGCTGTTTTGTTTCACACTGAAAAAGATGGCAAAGAAAAACCGATAGCTTTTGCATCAAGAACTTTAGCAAAATCTGAAATAAACTATACCAATATTGAGCGTGAAGCTCTGGCCATTATGTTTGCAACCAAGAGATTCCAAGAATACTTGATAGTGACCAAGTTTACTATTATAACCGACCACAAGCCATTAATCCATATTTTTACCAAAGGACTGAAAGATAATAGTACCATGTCCTTAAGATTACAAAAGTGGAATATAATTTTGGGGGGTTACGACTTTAACATCAAGTTTAAAGCTGGCAAATATAATGTTGTTCCTGATTGCCTCTCGAGATTACCACAAGTAGGTGTGGATGACGCTATTGATGATATCGCGATTATAAATGACTTTTGCGATATACCCTCTGAGTTTTGACCAAATACGCGATCAAACATCCAAAGATTTTGAACTATCTCAAGTTATGAGTGACATAAGAAATAATGTGCCTATCCAAAATAAAATTTATGAAAATATTGAATACGAACTAAGTATCATTAAAGATTGTCTGTACAAAAGCGACAAAATAATAATTCCATCAAGTCTGAGAAAGAACATACTGAAGGCGTTACGAAGGTCATTTGGGAGCAGGTAAAATTAAATCCTTAGCCAAAGATTGTATGTGGTGGTCTGGTATGGTCAACGACATTGATTTGTAAGTCAAAAGTTGCGATGATTGTAATATTTATCATGACAATCCAAAGAAAATACAAAATCCATGGGTAGCAGCAACTAAACCATTTGAAAGAATACACATAGATTATGCGGGTCCATTTTTTACAAAGAATTGGTTGATAATCGTTGATGCTTACAGTAAATTTCCGGTTATAGTTCCGGTAAAGAGTATTACGACTGAATTCACGTTAAAGGAAATTTATAAAACTATTTCACTATTTGGTATACCTGAAACCATTGTTACAGATAATGGTACCAATTTCACGAGCAAAGATTTTGAAAAATTTTGCAGCAATTATGGTATAAAACATGTACTAACGTCGGCCTACCATCAGCAATCTAATGGACAAGCTGAACGTATGGTGAGAACATTTAAAGCTCACATGAAAAGAAACATAAAGATTGACTTAGAAATTGCGCTGGACAGATTTTTGTTCAACTATAGAAACACGCCGAATGACACTACGGGAGTTACACCGTCCAAGAGAATGTTTAACCGCGACATTAGAATAAAGTGGGATTTATTAAAACCTTTGGAGGATAAAGTTGATGAAGTCTACATATCGTTACCACGAAATCGAACTTTTAATAGAGGAGACTATGTTTGGTATAAGAAACAGGGTGATGATACATGGTGCAAAGGCAGCATCAAGCTTAAAGAGAGTAACACCATGTTCCAAGTTTATACTGATAAAGGGATAGTAAGAAGGCATCTTGATCAGTTAAGGATAAGAGAATGTTACAACAGTTTAAAATATTATGAAATTGACCCTAAAAATTCCTCTAAGGGGGGAAGTGTGGACACGAAGAATGAGATTAAGATACCAATTACTAGACCAATAAGAATTAAAAATAAACCTGATTACTTAAAAGATTATGTGCTTAAAATTTAAAAATTAAACGCTTATAAAATATGAAACGCTAAAAAATGTAAAACGCAAAATATGTAAAACGCAAAAAATATAAAACGCTAAAAATATAAAACGCATAAAACGCTAATGATTTATCATTCCTTATTCTGGATTAAAATTTTATTCCTTATTCCATAAATTATCATTCCTTATTACATATTTTATTGTTCCGAAATTCAAAATTCTATTCGTGCATATTATTCATATATTTGATTTGATCAACTATTCCAAATTACATATTCCGATTTATTCCAAATTCCAATATTCGACTGGATTAATTATGAAACATGATAATAACAATTTTGAGAAATGTGAACAACATACGATAAGGATATCAAGCCAACGATAACGTTCAACGATTTTATCAAACCTACGCGATTGATTCAAGCCTACAAAAAACGTACAAACTCACGCAACTCTAATAAACAATTTTATCAAACCTATTGATAGAATCAAGCCTACGAGAACATTTGAGACTTATGCGCTAACCAAGATAAAACCGAGTACAATCGAAACGGGAAAAAACTTTTGGGACAAAAAGCTCTCGATGACTGCTGAGAAGAAGCTTCGTTCTTTGTAGAAGAGGGGGAATGTTGATTGATCATATATTTAAATAAATTTAAATAATTAATCTTAAATTTAAATAGTTAATCTTATATTATTAATTGATATGTTTGATATAATTTAACTATTTCAATTACCATAGTCGACTTTGGTTATTTTTAATTTACTTATTATTCACTAAACGTGATTGTAAACATTTGTTATATTATATATTTTTCAATTAACTTTGATATATATATACTGATATATTTTTAGTTCTTTTAGATATAGAATAATAATAAAATATTTCAAAAAATAATTAATTTGAATAGCTTACTTCATAATCTTATAAAAATATTAAGTAATATGTAACTACTATAAATTTTTTATATCAAATTTGATTTGAAACACAAGATTTTAATTATTATTTCATTTAAGATCATGGATATAATTCTTGACAAATTTTAAATTATTTTTCATAATTTCTGAGTTTTACAAATATTTTGTTTACATATCACGATTGTTAAAGCGAGTGTTAGCGGGCCTTGCTAAACCCCCTAAATACTTTCTACCACTAATGCATCATTATAAATTATAATTTTTAATTGATTTTTTTTCTTTGGTAATTGTGTGGATGATTTATGCAAAATCCAAATATTCATACTTAAGAATGAATATCATAGAAAAAATTAGGAATACATTTAGATCTACAGAGATATAACTAATTAGGAATTGAAATTTTTTTATCTATAAACCCCCCCCCCCTTTCTTTTTAGAAATAATAACTATTTTAATTATAAAAAATACATGGTAAAAAATAGTGTTGTTAAATGGCTCGATTTGAGCCGATTTTTAAAAACGGCTAACTCAAAATTTTATCCATAAAATTATTAGGCAAGACCGGAAATTTTGATCATAGATGCCACAAAGGTATGGAAATTTATTAGCTAAATCTCGAGGCTTAGGCAATATTTACCTGTCTAAAATATAGTTAGCTATTTTTAAAAATCAGATCAAATCGAGTAGTTGAACAACATTAGTAAAACGCTAATAGTTTGAGAATATACTATATAATATTGTATTATAAAAGAAATAACAGTGTTATTTATAAAAATAAAACTAATATTCATAAAAATGTAAGATAAATTTTTCTTTTAAATATTTTAGATTACATTGACAAATATAATTCATCGGGTATCTAAAAAAAATTTCAGGCTTAAACCAAACAAATTTTGATATTACAATCCATTCAAGGTATCTGTCATTTTCAATAGAATTGGTTAATTTTATTTTATTATACTAATTTTTAAAAATTTTTTAGATTAAATAGTGACAAAGAGGAAGAGAAAGAAGTAATAATCAATGAAGCATCAACAAGTTCCGACATTGTTTATCCAAGACTTATAGAGCATATTTTAAAAAATATTTCAAAATAATGAAAACATATATCTGCCATGTCTACCAAAAAATATGAAAATTTTAGTTAGCATTACCTCAACTTGCAAGTTGCAACACTGTAAAACATTATGAAAATTAAAAAGGGGAAGGAGAATAAATCTATTAAGGAAAATATTATACTAGGATCATTGTCCACTGATCTGATATTTTTGCAAAGATACCACTCTTGATGATTTAATAACTGATTTTATTATAGCTGGCATTCAGCCATTTTCAATTGTTGAAAATCTTTCATTTATAAAAATAATCAAAACATTAGCTCCACAAAAAATATAATTTGCCGACATACAGTTGTTGGCCGATTTTTTCAGCAACCCATAGCAGCAGATATGATTGTTTAATGATTTAAATTTTGATACTCAGCAAATTTTTAATTATTTTTTCAAAAATGAATGTCGAGATTTTAGTATTTTTAAGCGCCGAAGGACTTATTAGTATAGCTAAAAATGTCTTTACAAATAAACGAGGGTGCTTTAATGACCAAAATTTTGAAAATATTTTATTACTGAAATAAATAATTATTTATAATCATATATTTTCATATATTAAATTAAAATCTGCTCAAAACGAGCTGTTTAACAGCAATATTAAAATCTAAAAATCATTATTTTAGTTATATTTTGATAAATATGATAACGAGTCAATATTTTTAGTTCATTTCATTAATTTTTACAATAGAATCTAATTTAAGATTATACAAACTATATAAATAGTGTTTGCAATGGTCCGGTCGGACGTCGGTCCGGTCTAAGTCGGTCCCTCATGTTCTTGTGTCCTATGGGATGTTCCGGTTCCACAACACGGTCCTATGATCCGGTCCGACCAAAGACCGATTAAAGAAAATAAAAGTTTACTATATTAAATTTTTGGAAATGATTGAATACATAAATCCTAATATTAAAGTGTTCACTTATAATACCTTTCGAAAAAAAAATTCTAAACAATTACCTAAATAAAATGAGTCATGTTATATTCATACTAGCAAAATTGCCAGAAAAAACTTTTATAGCTTAATAAAAAAACTTATATGAGACCGACCGGACAGAACCGATAGTCCCACTGTCCGGTCTCATTTGACTTAACGGTCCATTAGTCCGATCTTATTTTAGAAAAAAGGGACCGGACCGTTGTAAACACTATATATAAAAGAAAAATTGTATCTATATCTAGATAAATTTTCAGACGATGTATCCATATCTAGATCCATTTAAAAAGTATCTGTTAACAACTCTGATATAATTGATTTTATTGAGTAAGTATTTTATATTTAACATGTATATTTTATTTTATAGTGCTATATATTTCATTGTATATCTAATACAAAATATATATGTGCAATGAATATGATTTTAGATGATCAATTTTAAACAAAATATATAAGTATCGTGTCATACTATTCTTTTTTTTAAAAAATGTAAATCGTTAGTTATAAAAATTATATAATTCGAAGAAACCATTTAAGGGAACAAATGAGGCCGTTATAAAAGAATGCCCACGAGGCCGTATAGTAGCGAGTCCGCCCCCTGCCTGCGCGGTTTGAATTTTTTAAATTATTAAGCCCGAACTTAATTATTTTTATAAAATAGGTATCGGGCCAGGGGTGTTTAATATATTTACTTGTAGTTATAAAGAATATTTGAGCAACCTAATTTAGCTAGTACACTCATGTTCTGAATAAATTTTTTCACTCAAAATAGCGATGGCACACTATTTCTACATAATTATAATTTTAAAAAATATTAATCAAAAGTAAATTTTGGTTGAAAAGTCGGCTTGAGCAACTCCTGAGCCAACTCATATGGCTTATTGAGCCAGCTTGTCTCTGAGTCATTTTTCTACTCAAAAACTGGCTGAGTTCGGCTTAGCCCTTTTACAACACTAATATTTTATTACTTAAAAACAAAGGTACAACAATGTAAAAAAAATATATTTAATTAAATCATTCGTTAAAAATTTTTATGCTAATAATTTTACGTATTTTGTATATTAAAAAAAATTTACTTGTTGATGTACTTATGCGATAGGTTTTGTTACACAAAGTACATTTTCTATTCCCTTTTTTCGGTGTTTCCAAAAAAATTTTTGACACAAGAATCATTGGAAGATTTCAGCGGAACCAAACTTTGATCTAATATCTTTTTAAAAAAATATCATTTGTATGATTTATATATGGGTCAGGATTTTATGTAGCAGTCACTTTAGCTAACTGAAATATAATTTTACCTGAAAATCTTCACCAAATTGAGAATGACTTGAATTTTCAAATGGGGAATCATCCAAAAAAGATTTGTCAGATGGAGTGAAAATATCCTGATCCATAATAAAAAGTAAAAAAAATTTTTTTAATTTATAAGAGTAAGGATAAAATATTATATTTTAAAAGTAATAAAAATATTATATTTATATAAATCCTTTATTTTCAATTTTCAAATAATAAATAATATAAAATATTAAAAAAAACGAAAATATAATATTTTGTGTTTTAATATATTTAAAAATGTTTGAAAAATATATAATAATACTATTAAAAAAAAAGAACGGAGATGGTGTGACGCAGGGAAACAAAAATGAAAAAGGGACGTAAGTGTTGTCTAGGATAGCTCTTTGGCTAGAAGACTACCATTGAAACTGATATAATTAGATTTGAGAATCGCTATGGATAATCGTTGACGAAGAAAAAAACCCTCTCGAGGTTCTTCTGAGAGTTTGCTGATTTGTGATCCTAAGTTTTTGAAAAATGCTAAGGCGAGTTTGCCGAAGGTGCCAAGAGTGGTTGATATGATTGGGATGAAGCAATGATCGTTCATTATTTCTGTGTATTTAGAAGTTTTAAGTTGTTCCTTCTGGTCAAGGATGTTGATGGCGTGGTTGGATGGGGCCAAGGGGTCAATACAGGAATAGTCCCATACCAAAAGTTGGCCTCTCCTCCATGGGATTTGAGAGATCCCATCAGGACGTTTACCGTCAGATCTAAAAAGACCCTGTGGTTCTAGAGTGGAAGGAATTTGGGCGGATTTCAGTGCATGTTGGATGATTGTATTACATTGCTTGTGTCTGATGAATCGTCCATTGCAGGAGCGACAATGTAAACTATGTCTACCCTTCGAGTCAACTAGCGAGTTGCACCCTGAGCAGATGTGAGGGTGAGTGATGGAACAATTTAGACGAATGCCGATGGCGTGGGTAAATTCATTGTTGGATAGTTGAAGCTGAAGATTGGTAGATGGGATGGCCTCAAGAAACTCATGTCCCGTACCATTGAGCAGGGAAGAGAATAGGGTGCGGTCGGTAGATTGCATGCTAGATAAGAGAGTTTCAACGCAGCGAGCAACCACTGTTGCATCCCAGTCTTTCTGTCTATGGGTTGTGGGGGGATGAGAATCAGCATTGATCCTTGTTTTCCAAATATCCATAGCCACGATTAAGGAAAGGTCTTCTTTAGAATTATGGGAGGTGGTTATTGGCTTTGTCAAGAGACTACTCAATATGAAAGTAGTTATTGCTAAGTCATGTGGAGATCTGATGCCGAGACCACCAAATTTGGTTGGAAGAGTTGCTTGGGCCCAAGCTGTTTCGTTGAATCTGATATTTACTATTTTTTCGGTTAAGTCCTTTATTCCTTTTTCGTAAGTTTGGAGAGGAATAGGATATTTAAAAATTGGTGTTGACCGAAGTGCGTAAAGAATCCTTGGTATAAAAAAGAAATTTTTTAGCAAAAAAAAGGACTTGTGTGATGGAAGAAGTGTAAAGATGTCCTCCAGTTTAAGGAGTATGTCGAGTGTGGAATGAAGAAAGGTGCTTATTGCCTCGTGTCCTCCTACAGGCGATCCTAGATGTGTTAATTCAACGCTTGATGTGAATTTGAAATCGTGGGTGTGGGAGCATTAGAATTTAAATGTGAGAATTCAGATTTGCTCTGGTTAAGCGAAAGTCCAATGGCTGTGCCCATTTCCTTAATTATGTTGACTGCTTTGGCGATTTCACTACAGGGAACACTCAAGATTCTATCATCAATATACTAAGCGTGGAGCGATAGAGTACATGAAGAGTTTATTGATTTTATCATGTCATTGATCCCAAGACTAAAGAGAAGGGATCCGAGAGGGTCACCCTGTTCCTCGACAGAAAGTATCTTTTCTTTGTTGAGTAAGCTTGTTGGTGATTGGTAGCAAGAGAAAAGAAATTTGGTGTAAGCGGGGAAATGGAAGCAAGTTGAATGTAGGAACGTGTTGCGCGAAAGAGTGTTGTAGGCATTAGAGAAGTCAATTTTTACTAGGGATTCGTTTTTTGGGTTATTTTCAATGTGAATTCTTGTTAAGTGCACAGCAGCTTCACACCCACCAGGTATCCCTACACCAAGTTGGTAGGGGCTTAGAATGTGTGCGGCATCGTGTTTGATTCTAGATGCGATTAATTTAGCGACCAATCTACGGTAAGTTGAACCAATGGCGATGGGCCAAATGTCCTTGTTTGGTTTTTGGAGTGCGATGAGTCTGGCACCGAAGAGTAATGGGGTAATAAAGCTGGGTACGTCTCCATTTAGGATTTTGTTGACTAAGTTTGTGATTTTAGTGAGAATTGAAACCTGTGTACAGATCACAGGAGAGGTAATGTCCTGTAAAACCTTTGGTCTAATCCCATCTAGACCATGAGCCGAATCCCGATGAAAAGATAGGATTGCTTTCCTTACTTCTTCCTGGTCTGCTGCACAATGGGAGTAGGGTTGGGGCAATATTATCATAAATGTTGTTGTGGGATGCTTTGATCGAAGCTCAATTAAGGTATCTAAATTGGATTCCGCCAGAGTGTCATTGGTTGAAATGAGTTTGAGGGCCCCTTTGATATTAAGACTGTCAATTTTCTTGGAAATCAATGAGGCTTTTTGTTGAAGTGGGGTTATTTTTTTTTTGTTTTGGGGATGTCTGGTGATTTGAGACTCATGAAGATGAGTGTTGATGTTTATTAAATTTTAAGTAAAAAAATTATATATTTTAAGTAAAAAAAATAAGTAAAAAAAATTTAATATTTTGAAAGTATATAAAACATTCTTTTATTATTCAAAAATTCTAGACTTTATAAATAGACTACTTAAGATTATTTTTTCCCTTTTTTTTATTCAAGGGTGTTCCGAGAATTTATATGACGGCATCTGGCTTGTTTTTTTAAGAATAGAAAACATTCGAAAATTTTGTTATTTTATTTAATATATTATTAAAACATTTTTATTTTTTGATTTTGACGAAATGGAAGGAAATAAAAATCTTAAAAAAAATTCTGCCTGTTAAAATTATAAAAATGATTTTTATAAAATATATGGCCCGGCCCGGGTATTTAAAATTTTTTTTTAGCCCAGCACATGTATTTTTAAAAAATAAAATTTTCGGCCCAGGCATCGAATCAGGTTTAAGGCCAGGCCTGTAGCTCTCTGATCTGATTTTAATGCGTGTTTTTAATTTCCTTGATAAATTTGATTTTAAGATCTATTCTGAAGAGAATCTACCCTGGGAATTTCATATGATCGCCAAAAAATTTTTATATTTAATAATTTATAATGAAAATCTATATATATTAAAGGCTAAACCCTATAAATTTTAGAAGATTTTATTTTGAATTTCTTACAATTTAAATTTACAAATATTTTGAAAAATTATAAAAAAATTATTATAAATTAAAGTCTCTCCATACGTTTGTATAAAATTGTCCGACATTTATAAGTAGTGTTATTAGCTTAAAAATCAACTATACCTAATTAGGCCTAACCGAAAAATCGCCTAAAACTAATTAGACAAAATGTAGGGATTGGGAGACGTTACACAACACTAAGCCTAGCCTTAATTGTTCTATATTCCTATTTATCAAAATTAAATATATATATAATTATTTTATATATATTTATGTAACGATATATTCAACTCTATTTTGTAAATATTTCTCTTAACTTCCGAGAACTTTTCTATTAAAGATACAATAGATATTTTTTGCTCCTTTCTATCTGATGATAATTTCATTTTTTTTTCTCTATCTAATAATAAAATTTCCAGATCATCAATATTGCTATCATTATCATTGTTATCGCTACAACCAGTAGATATTGTCGTAGCTCCAATATATTGTAAATAATAGAGTTTTGGGTATGCCATAAATCCTCAAGATGGTCTATAGCAATTTATTTTTGCTCAATACTTAATAAAACTTGATATCGAGGGTTAAATATATTGAAGCATATACAACACTATTTTGTAAATATTGTTGATCTCTAATTTTCATATTTTCTAATATTTCATAAGAAAAAGAACTTGTAAATCTTTCTAACTCTAATCGACATCTTATCCATATGCCATAAAAATCCGATAAACATAACTGTTCTGCTTGCAATCTAAACTAGTTATTTTTAAAGGAACCAACATACTAGTAAGGTTTTATTTGATTCCAATCATCTTCTGACAAAATGGCTTCACATGCTCCTATAATAAAATCATTACAGAAATCTTTCAAACTTATTAATCGCTCTAACATCATACAAATAGAAGACGAACTTGTTGTGCAATCTAATATTGTCATTTGCCTTTTCATAGATTTTAATATTCTTACAATTGTGGGAGTTCTTAAATATTTTACAACATCCCTTGCTTTATCAATTATAGTTTTAAATTTATGGTATCAATCTCTAAATAAATAAAATGAAGTCCAGGAAGAAAAACGAAAAAAAACACGAATATAAAATAAATGATTCTACGAAAAAAATTAATAAAATTTATATTTTTACATTATTTTTTAAAATTAAAATTTTTTTAAATACCCTGAACATTTGAACCCTTCACTTTTTAATATGTCGGGTTCAGCCAAAATACGAGGGTTCAGGGTTAGGGTCCTGGTTCACATCCCTGAAATAATCATATATTGTTAAATATATATTTAAGCTTTTGTGAAAAAAGGTATTATAAGATTCTTTAAAATAAAATTTAATAAAAGCTCTATAATAGTTTATGAGGTAGAAGATGAAGTTTTGTGACAGTGTTTTTCTAGCCAGTCAATACATTGTTTACTGGCCATAATAAATTATTTAAGAATTATATGAAATGATTGCAAAAAACCTATCTTATATATTTCTTCATTTTTTAGGCATATAAAAATTTAATAATGCAATTAGTATTAACATATAAATTTATCAATATTCATTTAATGATTATACTTTATCAATTTATATCTTAATTATCTTTTTATTAAAAATTCTTATTTCAATTAATCACTATTTATTTTGAATTTATGAATAATTATCTTAACTGTTTTCAATAATTTTATCATTATGATGTATTAAATTATTTAGGGAATTATTAACAATAATGAAAACCATTTTATTAATTTATAAATGAAACAATAGTATCACTATTTACATACATAACAAACAAATAAATCATTGTTATTCGTACATTGAGTATGATACCAGTTTTCAAATTGCAGACAATTAATCCACTCTTCACCTTTAAGGTTTTCTTAGGAATATTAAATTTAGTAGATATTAATAATGTTTATCTGTTATTAATGAATATATCATCATTTGCCAGTTTAATTTGTTCATCATTTGATTTTGTACCAAATATATTTAAAGCGAGCTTTTCATTTCTATATGAATATAGAATTTTGGCCAGTCAATACATATGCCTAGTGTTGTTAAATGGCTCGATTTGAGCCTATTTTTAAAAACGGCTAACTCAATAATTTATCCAGAAAAATATTATGCAAGCCTAGAGATTTTGCTCATAGATGGCACATAGTATTGAACATCTATTGGCGAAATCTCGGCAATTAAGCAATATTTTCCTGGCTATAATTTTGAGTTAGCCGTTTTTAAAAATCGGCTAAAATCTAGCCATTTAACAACACTACATATGCCTATTAAATAAAACTTGAAACCATAATTTTTTGTGCGTATAATGCTGAATGCCTAAGGATAATATTAATATAAAATAACAATAATCTAAATTAGTAATTTTTTCACCAAACAAAAAAATGTGTAACGAGATTTTTCCAGAAAGAAGTACTAAAAATAGCTTATTTAAAATTTTTTTTATTGGATTGCTCTATTCAATAGGTAAGGTACATATCATAAAATACACATTTTGACAAATTTTGGGAGAAATCGGTCGAAAAGATAATAGTTAAAGTGGCTAGTCTTCAAACATGGCCATTTATGACACGTTTCCCATATATATTATGTTAATGTTATTTTTCGTTTTTAATATTTAAAAACGCAAAATATTCGGCGTTTTTTTTAGTAATTTAGTAACATTAATTTTTACAAATTGACCACTTTTCTAAATTAAATCTTCGGTTATGTCGTAAAAAACGATCCGAACTTTTAATTGGATTCCAAAGATCAAGATTTGTTTTTATATTTTTTTTGCTTCGTAATCACCTTAAGATCCTTACTTTTATATGTCCAAAATATAACCAAAATTATTCAATTTTTATATATAAATTATAACTGTTATATTTGCTTCACTTGCATTTTGATTTTAAAAAACAAATTTTGTTAATTTTTTTAAAAATTTTAAATTAAATTGATCGATAAATATTTCCTATATATCATATAAAGTAATATGTTTCTCATTTTCTGAATTTACGCAAATGAAGCTCTACAAATATCGAACGTCGATATATTTGGTATAATATGGGATTCAAATCATATTACTTATATTTAAAGGGCAATTATTGTTCTATTAATCGCCAGTTAGATTCTACAAATATTAGCGATAGTGTTGTTAAACGGCTCGATTTGAGCCGATTTTTATCACGGCCAATATTTTAAGAAAAATATTCCTAAACCTCTAGATTTTTCTAATAGATGTTTAAATTAAAGGTCAGCATTGGGTGAGTTTTCTCCCGCCTGCCTATGCCTGGCTATAAAAATTTATTTGAAATTTTTTAACATCCTTACAATATATTTTTTTATCTATTTAATTTAAAAATATTCGAAAAAACTTAAAAATGACGATTATGACAATTGTCACGTTTCTAAGGTACATATTCACTGAAAATTTAATTTAACATGTTCACAACATATATTTTACCTATTTGCTTCAAAAAAATTCGAAAAAACTTAAAAATGAAGATTATGACAATTGTCACGTTTCTAAGGTACATATTCACTGAAAATTTAATTTAACATGTTTACAATATATATTTTTAACTATTTGCTTCAAAAAAATTCGAAAAAATTTAAAGATGACGATTATGCAATTGTCACTTTTCTAAGGTACATATTCATTGAAAATTTAATTTAACATGTTTACAATATATATTTTTACCTATTTGCTTCAAAAAAATTAGAAAAAACTTAAAAATGACGATTATGACAAATTTTAACGCAAGCCGACCCAACAAGCCGACCAAATGGGTCGGCTCAACAGGCCCATTGGATCGGGTTGGGTCGTGGTCAATTTTTCAACCCTGGCTCAGGGTTGAGCAGATTTCTACGACTTCGGTTCGGGTTGTGGGTCGTAAAAAACCAACCATTTAACAACACTAAAAATAACAATTAAACAGGGATTAATTCAGATTATTTATTTTATTTAATCGTTTTTCATTTTATATAAAATTGGATTAGTTTATTATATTCATTTAAATAGATCTCATTAACATAAATACTTTATACATAGTTATATATATTAAAGATTATATATATAACTTGGACTTCATGCAATTATTATTGCAATCAAATAAGCCATATATATAAATTAGATCCGATAAAAACATTATAATAATACAATCATAAACATCTTCATCCCATTCCATAATCCTCACCACACTCGAACTTTCCTCCACCATATGATGTGAATTGATTATTCTTGTCTGTCAATCCCCATGATTCAGTAGCTAATCACTACACCTCTCACCCACCTTCTTTATCCAATCCAAAACATCCTCATTCAGTTGCAAACCTTGGTGGTCCCAATCGTTAAACTTTGAACGGTCAATGAGGACACTTTAACCAATTTTGCACCCACCATTGCCACCAATCGTACACACATGGACAGTTCACAAGACTTTAAACATTGAACGGTCCTTGAACAATCCGTTATCGCTTAACTTGGTGCTTACCTATGAGTATCTTCGATGTACAACATCGATTCTAATTATCTTCCTAATAGAGAGGGGAATTATGGTTTCTAATTCATAGGCCCACTCATTCTCATATTCAAGCTCTATGGAGACTATGGCTGATAGTCCAGCCCATAGTAATTTTTATAATTACGTCTTATTAAACAGGTTCCTTTATATGTAAGCCTTTTCCTAATACCTAAATTAATCAGGTTCCTTTATTAGTAACCTTTTTCTCAATGTCTAATACCATAGATCTATAATCCTAATCCATAAATTAAATTACCATGTAAAGGTCTGTAACGTATAATGTATATCTATAAAACAAAATTGTGTGGTTAAGGGGGGGGGGGTTAATGTTCCTCGGGGAGCAGGGGTTGTTCCTCGTTGGTGTCACTCATCGTGTTTATTGACAGATCGAGGGTTATATCGAACAACGTAGGGTCGAATTCGCGAACCCTCTAAACCTATTTTTCGTTAAATGGGGTTTGATAGGGCTTGAAGGTAAAAGGGGATCTAGCCTAGCTTGTAAATTTACATCTAGGCTGTCTGTAGTGTAGATGCTCATCAGTCGTAACAGCTTGTGGAACTAGCTGATGGATGCGCTGTCGACCGTCGGCGCTGACGGGGCCATTATAGTGGCCTCATACAGGGACACTTTGTTAGAGAATATATTGCTTATTATAATCGACTCTCCCCGTGTGTCGAACGACTGCTCTGTCGTAGGAAGTTTGAAATTTGTATTGTCTTCGAATGTAGGAGCATCGTTTTCATTCCTCGGGGCGGGGGCTTATCTTTCTCTCTCGTTCTGGGCAAAAACTTCTTTAGCCTTATATTTCGGATTCATAGGCGGATTTCATAATGTCCTTTTTTCGAAATCCAGATGGAGACTAATGCCAAAGACACTCTCCTAAGTTTAAAAATAGAAATGACCCTGGTAAAGCTCAATCAAATGGAGTGTGACAACTAAAAAAGAGTCCAAAATGATCATCCAATCACATTCGTTCACAAGTCTCCCAATCTTCGTCCCAAAAAAACGGTCGATCTACCTCTCCTCGTTATTGATCTCACGCCAGATTCTATGGAGTTTATGCTCCCAGAAGGAGGAGTAGCTTAAAACCCTCAATATAATGAATGAAACGGATAAAATCAATTGATTAAAATTGTCAAGCACCATTAATGCAATCTGCATAGCGGAAAAACCCCTGGCTACCAATTAAAAACCAGAGATGTTTATGAATTCCCTTCCCTAAAAATCGTGGTTGAAGAACTCAAGGATGATATGTTATATAAATTCCTTAGAGACATCGCCCCAGAAGCTCAAATCTATGTAAAATCTGCGACTTTGGCATTGGAACAGACGAAATGAGAGCCGCGATCGGTAATGTACAAGTTCGTAGGGGGGGGGGGCGCTACCGCTACCAATAGAACACTCTTTTCTCCGTACCCCAGTCCCAAATTACAAGCGAGGATTGGGAACGCCACAGCCCAAACAAACCAACCCCACATTTCACAAAATTACGCATTCTCCACACAACCTTGACTTTGATATGAACTATACCCCAAAATCCAAGATCAATAGACCCAAGAGAGGCAGGAAGCCTCCAGCTAATCAGTGAGTTCCTAAAGTCTCTTCTGCCATCCGCACTCGATTTTGGAGCGTCGGAAGTCTTGACTACCAGGGCTGCTGCTAGGTTTGTTTTCATAGCTTTCATCTTTGCTTTCATGCCGCTTCGGACATTTATCTAATTTTAATGGTGGAGTTCGATTCTGAATTCTTACGATCTTTCATCATTGTTGTGTATGACTCGATGTTTATCATAAATTAATTTCTTCCCTATCTTATTTTTGGGAGGTGAGAATCATAACAAGGATAAAACAATTTGTTCATGCCAGTCGATAAAATAACATAGAATCGACATCAACTACTCCACAAAATCAACAGAAGTAGATAAAGACAATAAGTCGTGCCTCAGATTCTACCAACTCATTCAATATAAATATTTCCTACAGTAGATGAGTATCGAAAAAGACATCGCCCTGGAGATGCTAGGTATCCTCAATCACTTACTTCATCACGGGCCTATATAGGGTATTCGCACCGTATTGCGACACCGAGGAGACGCCCCCTATCGACACTTTACCCGAAAGTGGTATCGGCGATCGCGGCCCTCATGGAACCCATTAACCTTCCTCATCAGTACAATAATCAGGGACCTGTAGAGGTACCATTTGCACGGCCCGGCTCGGCCCGGATTTTTTTTTCCAAAAATTTTTTTACGGCCCTGCTGTAGCGTGATTCATTAACTCCCCTTATCACATACATCTGAGTTAAATAATCACTATGATAGATTAACTCCCCCTTTGATAAATAGTGTTTAGGAGGGAGTTGATTAATAACAAAGATCTTAATTACAATGTAAATTGATAGGGAGAGTTATATGATAATGCAGTTTTTTTTTAGTATTACTGAAATTCTTGTAAATTTAATTTTTGATATTAAATTTAATTTTCGAATTTACATTTTGAATCGAATTTTAATGTTATTTATCTAATTTGTGAAAACATACATCCAAAAAGTAACATATATAAAAATATATATAGTGAATCTCGATGTTATCAATGATATTTATAATTACCTTAAATGCAAAACCTACCCAACGTCCTATATCGGCGATCATGGGTTAAAAAAACCTTAGAGTCAAATGTGCCAAGTTTTTCTTAGAGAATGACAAATTATATCATCACCTACATAATGCTGAAGTTATCTCACTCTTTAGCCAACAACAAAAACTTTTAGTCTCATTCCATGGAGGATGTGAGACAAATCTCACAGAAATGTCATTATCAGGTCACTTTTGAATCAACAAGACATATGATAAACTAGTTGAAAGTAGTGGCTAGCTACGGGGGTGGTTTTCGGGTTTGGATCCCTCCCAGAGCAAAAATTTATTTTTAGAATATACGTTCAAAAGACTTATAAGTGGTGACTTTATATCAAATAAATACCAATAATATTTATATTTTTCTGGTTTTGATGTTCGTGGAAGGATATTATATTACTATTGAAATTATTCTGGATAGTATTATTATAAAGTCATTGAGAATAATCTACTAAATTTATGTATGGACCCCCTCTAAGGAAAATTCCTAGCTACGCCACTGGTTGAAAAGTATATTTACACTTCTTTCTAAATTTTTATGAATATTACTGATGAATTTAAAAATCACTTTTGAAGTGTACAAAAGGCAATCTGAGAGATTGGCCTGGAGTTCTCCCTGGTATTTATTTGCCTACAATATATCAAGGCATGAATCCTCAAAATTTACGCCATAAGAGATGATGATCACTTATAATTCTTTAGACGCAAATTTTTTAAGGGAAAATATTTTATACTGTAATAGATTTTGTATTAAAAAATATTATATTTAGAAATGTCATGTATTATTTTAAATATTTAGATGCTGGTTTATTTTGTATGCATAATATGATAAATGACAATATATGAAATTCAGAATAATTGCTCCAAGTTAGCAAATCTTCAAAATGTATTATATATTAATATAAAACACGGGCGAAACCCGCCCCCCTTACCGCCATTATTTTTTTTAGTTGAGCCCCTAAGATTGTAAAGGCTAGCCACGACCCTGATAGATAAAATTATATATATGCTCAAATAATAATCCTAGCATTATAAGTATAGATAAAACTTATAATTTAGGAGAATTGTTTATCACATGCACCGTTTATAAACACAAATGCATAAAACTCACCGTTTACACAATCACCCAATTTTCTTAGGACCTATATTTCAACATTAATAATTTTTTTCTCCCACCTTGAATCAATTTTAAAAAAATCGTATATCTATTAATAATTTAATTTTTGGGAGTGACGGAGAATTGAAGATGGTATCGGCCTTGCGTAAAAATTTTATAAATTCAGCACATCTTTTATGTATTAAACACATTAAAGAAAATTTAATACATTTTTTTAACTAATAACGAAGGAGTTGAAAAAAAAATTTGAAACATATTTATAAATTTTATTTACAGTAAAGATGAAATAATATTTTATTAACCGATAAAATATTTTAAAAAATATTTATAATTTAAAACAATTTTGCTTAAATAAAAATTATATAAAATTTGTAAAATATTTAGATAATCATTTAATAGATAAATTATATAATATGGTATATTTACCTTTAAAAAATATAATTATTTTATCACCCTACTACACCAGCAATAATTGTGAAAGCATAAATCATGTATTATAAACAAAACTTGATTGAAAAAAACTCCTTTACATATAATGATAAATAAAATAAATGTTATTGTTTTAATACAGGAAAAAGACTTCGAAAGAGCCATATGTGGGTTGGGTCCCAAAAGCATTAGATATATCGCCCATGCATCAGAGCTGGGCTGAGATGACAGATGCTGAATATAAGGAAATTCTGTTGAAAATACTAAAAGAAAATAGTAATGGAAAACTAATTACCTCAACATGTGGTCAATTAGCTATAGTAAAACCTTTAGGATCAAAAAACCTAATCAAACTAAAAAAGCCAAAGCGGAAAGAACGAAAATAATAAGGCCATAGATGTATTTGTTTTTATTATAAATATTTAATTTCCAATAATTAATAAATAATTCTTCCTATATTTATAAAAAATAATTTATAAATTTTTAATAATTGCCCCTCCTTATGGTATTAACAAATAATTTATATTTTAAGATTAATTATGTGCAAGAACTAAACCTTCTTATCTTGTTATGAAACTTTATAATGATTTTCTATCTATCTTAATTTTTTTTTACAAAATTATATTTAATAAGATTTGTATATACATTAGTGAATAAATATTATGTAAGTACAATTCTACCTTTTTATGTAATGTAATATATATTTACTAATTTATTTATA